TGGAAGAAGCTTTCTCTGAGCCACCTGGTTCAGGCCCGGAGACTCTGCAGCCTCCTCCCGGATGGCAGCAGGGTGAAGACATTGTGGAGCGCGAGGAGCCGCTGCGTTCGTCCTCGCCGCCATATCTTTTTTGTTTTTACTTTTTTGTTTTCACAAGTAAGATAATGTCTTTACTTTTGATTTTCACAGACAGAAAAGTAGTAAAATTGTTTTGTTTTTTCTAAATCTGGTTTATATTTTTTACAGGATTTCTTAATTGGATTAAATGAGATTTTATGTCAGCATCACAATATCTACACATTTCATGGATTTGTTGGCATCTGTCATGACCAAAATGTAATAAAGACATCAAAAACATCTAGAGCATTTTGGCAAGCCTAACAAATAGTCTTTCAGCCTTGAGCAACTGTGTAACTCTAATTCTAACTACTTCCAGGGTGCATGAAGGTAAGCATAAGAAATTTGACTTTCCACAATGGACATATAATATGATGTGTTATTAATGCCACTGTAGATGAGAGAAAAAAAAAGGAAAGGTATGTTTTCACCAAAAAACTAAAATATTTAAAGATTAGTTTTATATTATCTGTATTTTGATGGAAAAAAGTTTTAAGGAAAAAGTTTTTGAAATGCACAAATAAACTCAAAAATTACCATACTTAAAGGCAAACACTTTCGACATTTAAACTAAAGCCTCTTTCCCGCTGAAATTAGTGGTTTAATGTGAGTTTTTTTAACACGGGTCGACTTGGTTGCAATCGACATTTGACTACCTTTTCATTGGCAAAAAAAAATTGGGTCTTACCCCCCGCTTTTACACTGCATGGCCTCTTTCCCCGCCCCACTTCGTGTGTGGTGACGCCATCACGCAGGGTTAACCTTGATACTGTCACCAATGGAACAAAAAAGCATCCCGTGCTGGTTTAAATACTCCTGAAGGAAGAGTACAATTTCCTAACCTGACAACAGCCAGATGCATGTCTTGCTCCGCCTAGTGAGTGGAGCTAGGCGGAGCGAGACATGCATCTGGCTGTTGTCAGGTTAACAACTTCCAGCACGTCAGAGTAGAATGAGCTTTTTCACATAAACAATCCTAAGAACTTACTGCGCAATATTGACAACCTAAAACTAATTCCATCCACATTGAGGAAACTCAGTATTTCCCAGTGTCGCATACCTAAAAGGAAATAAAAGCATTAAATCCGACAGCCCAATCATTGTTCACGTTTCATGTAGCGTACCTCATCTTACCTCATTAGATGTCATAATTATGAGATAAGATAATGAGATAATAATATTGAGATCAAGATCTCATAATTAAGAGATCTGTATCTTGTAATTACGAGATCTTATCTCGTAATTATGAGATCTTAACTTGAATTTCTGAGAAAAGATCTCATAATTATGAGATACTGATCTCGTAGTTATGAGATAAGTTGTCAGAATTGTTTTTTCTTTGGTGAATGCAATACGCTTCCGTATGAAATATATACAATTTCACATTTGTCTTTTATTGTTAAAAATGTTCACCTTTATTTTTTCTTTTAATTCATAATGGCCCTTATAATGGCCATTGTAGTATCAGCCTATACTGTTAAAGCAGCTGCACAGAAATTTACAAGGTAGTTCTGTCTTTTCACTGAAAAGAATATGATTATTATTATTATTAAAGACTGAACCAATTGGCAGAATGACCAATGGAATTAGCTCTTGACTGCTATCCCAGTAAAAATAATAAATACAGGAAAAAAGATAAATATTGTGAGATCTGATGTCAGGAAGTCTTTCTACACTCCTTGCTGATTAACAGTAAATCTGTCAGAGGTAGCATGATATGCACCAAAAGAACCCAAAGTAATTTGTTTGAAAGCTTAACCCTATCAATACTGCGGGCTACGATAACTTGTAGGTGATAGGTAGATGAAATAACTGTTTTGTTACACTAGACATGTTACTGAGAATATATGATGGAAAGAAGTGACTGAAGATAATAGTTAAAGATAAAAAAATAAAAGATGAAAAACTTTATATTTGAATGCTTTAATCCAGGTGCGTTTCCACTGTGTCTCTGGCATGGTCGATCCCAGCTCTGCATATCAGCAGCAGACAAAACAGAGCTGTCATCACAGCATAAGATTTAAACACAGTTTGGATGGCTGCTGCAAAGTCCGGATGGGACCAAACTTGTTGTTCATCTCCGAGAGACAGATATACCAGCAGACGAATCTCAGCAGCCCGTCGACCCTGAAGCCAGCAGTAGTACACACCTAAATAATGAAAACAGATGAACAATGTATGTTTTATAAAGCATGCTATTTCTTCAAATCCCATTGTTAAAATATTATTTTATTAATACGATTAAATGAAAAATTTAAATGATAAATTATTGCAATAAAAATCTCTAAGAAACATATAGGTTCTCTCAGCATCAGAGGATGAGGAAGGCTACAGCTCTGCATGGGAGTATAAAACTGCTCCTTATCTTTTCTCTTTCTTTAAGCATGTGTCAAAAACCTAGAAAAACATTTTAGTTAGAATATGTTCCTAAGTAGGTTGCACGGTGGCGCATTTTCTAGCACTGCTGCTTTGCGGCAAGAAGGTTCTGTGTTTGATTCCGAACCTGTGGTCTTTTGGCATGGAGTTTGCATGTTCTCCTTGTGCATGCGTGTGTTCTCTCTGGGTACTCTGACTTCTCAAACATTAGTTGGTCATTTTATGTATACAGTTTGAAACACAGTTCAACAAAGACTGGTTCCTGAGAAACTTAAGAAATACAACCTCTCCTGGGAGCTGCTGCTCATCTTCTGAAATTCCATCATTAGGCTTATCCTGTGGACATCCTTCACTGTGTGGTTTGGCTCATCCACAAAACAGCACAGGTCAGACTAAAACTAACAAATCAGGGCTAGAGGGAGCCTCATGAGACTAACCTTTCCTCAACCAGGTCAAGTGTTAAGACAAGGACAGTAAGCATCTCTATAAACCCGAAAACAAAACGAACCCATTCTGTCTAGACTTTCTCCCACACGTCGGCACAACAATGCAGTATTTCCAATAAACAGCCAATACAAAAAAGGGTTTATCCTCTCCCAGATTACCTCTTCCATGAAAAAAGAATACTTTATAGCTTAGGTGATCACATACTTTTCTGTAAAACAGAATTAATATTGTATTATAACCCCCTGTTTGTCTTTAGTTTTATTTTTAAAGAGAAATGGGTAGTACTGTATGTACATATAAATGTACATATTTTTCCATTCATCCTTTATTTCATTACTTCTAAAGCTGAAACTGTCTATTAATACTTAATCTCTATAAGCTACAAGGGCTTTGAGTGTTGAAACCCTTGTTTAGGAACGCAATCTTTGCAAATAAATTTGATGTACAACCTAAGTAAAAAAAAAAAAATACTGTATTTCTTAAAAATTATTTTCTGCTAATTGTAACTCCAATAAACAGCCAATACAGTACTTGGTCATTGTTGGACATTAATGTCCAAATAACCTGAATATTAAGAGTAAGTGTACCTGAGTCCTTGATTTTTGCTGGATGAAACACTAAATGATGTCCAGTGTCTATCCTGATCCTTGGGGAAAAGTAGCTGAAGTTTCCCCCCGCTGTTTGCTCGGACCTGTAGATTTGTTTAGATTCCTGATCCCAAGCCACGGCCATGTTGGGACGTGCTCCAGGACAGCCCAGGGCGAGAACGCTGTCTGCTGGGTGGTTAAGATAAAACACAGGCACCGGCACTGGCAAAGATGCAGAACTGTAAGATAAAAGCAGAAATGTCTTCTTATCAGGCACATTTCTGGATCAATTTTCTTTATCATCTAATCCACTTTATTTATATCGCACATTTAACAACCACAAATGTTTCCAATGTGCTGTACATAGAAAAGAATCATGACGAAAACAATGCCAATAAAAATTTTATAATTGAGATAATCATAGACTCCAGTTAATCATGTTGTAAACCACAACAATAAAAAATCTTTTTAAAAATACTTTTAAATGTGTGAAATTCTGTTTTCTACTGTTAGTTCTACAAACGTCTCATTTAAGATGTGCAGATTTAAACATGATAATACCTTTTTTGTATGAAGGAATAAAAGTAATGCACTGCCTTGACGAAACTGTGAGATGAGAGGTATGTCTTATCAGAATTTGTTTTAATCTTATAGATTTTATTTTTTTCATATGTTTTCTATAAAATGTAAGTTCACTCCACCAATCCCAATTGGTTGTGTAGTTACAGGTACACTATTCTACTGTCTTACACCTGATACAATAAAAAAAAGTTTTAAAAGGTTGGAGTAAAACAAAATGTAATATGTTCAAAATAAAGATGCTTAAAAAAATTAAAACCTTTTTTGGTGACAGAAATTGAAGAATTATTTTGCATTTTATTAGGTCTGAATGTGAATCTATGGTGAATTTGTCTAATAAATATAGCTTTTATAAAATTGAATAAATCCAAAAGAGGCTGCTAGGTGTAACTAACTGAACTTCATTTTATAGTTGATAAAGCTAATACTATTGCTTTCTATGAATTAGTTACTTAGCTAAATGAGTCATGATTTTTAAAAACACATCCTCACCTGTACCCAAGAAATGTCATTAAAGCAATCAGCTTTGAAGGAGGAGGAGCTTCTGTTGGACATGGAACCATACAGCCTTTGACTTCCACCTTAGGCCCCTGCTTTAGAAGGCTGAAAGAGGCGGGGACTGCTTCAGAGCCACAGGATGCAACTGTATGATTGGTCCATCTGTATCGCACATGTAGGAACTGGGAGTGAACATAGCAGAGTCCAACACGGACCTGCTCGCCTGGAACCCCACATCGATCACACACTGACCAGGACTGGAAGCTAATGAAGATCTGATATAAAGGGTGTGAATGGATGATGAAGCTGTCGCTGTACCTTTTCCTCTTTCTGCTTTCTTGAGTGACCCTGAAAGTATCAAATCACAAGAGAGTTGTCATTAATCTCATAAAAAACAACAGAGTTTGTTGCAACAAAGTCTTTCTCCTAACCTTGGTGTGAAACTAAATGTTGGAGCTTCCTGCACATCCAGGTCATAAGCATAGAAGAAGTCTTTATGGGCAGAGCCACAAATATAGAGGCCGGAGTCACTTGGTCCTGTTCTGAATATCAGCAAACTAAAGAGCCGAATGGAGAATCGACTTCGCAGGTCACTGCTGTGAGGGATGTTACTTGTGTCCAGCAGCGTGTTACCATGGTGATCTGTCAGGGCTCTGGTCTCATCAGAGCTGCCCCGATGCTTCCTGAAGAACCAAACAACTGACTGGACCTAAAGAAAAAATAGAATAATCTGAGAAAATAAGTTGTTGGAAAGAGGCAACTACACTGATTACTCTTGGGCCTCTTTTAAGGTAACTTAAGGTGGCATGAAGCAAAAGACTGGAAATTATTCCAATAGTCCCTTCTAATAAGTAACCTCACCCTGTAACTCACTCTGAGAAAGAAGATAGTGATGCTGCTTACTTTATCTAACTATTTTATGATCAGATTACCAGAAAAGAAATTCTCATGCCGAACATGTGTAAGAAGAGTTAAAGCATGTTAAAGCAACTAAAAATAAGGGATTATATCCTAAATTAGGGTGTATATCCTAATTAATATTGTGCAAATGCAACATTGCTTGTTCTATGTAACTGTTTTGTGGTCAGATCAAGTTAAAATTATTCAAAATTAGTTTTATTTTATGCTGATTTTTTTTTTTGTGGTATTTAACAACAATAAGATATTTTAATTCAGCTAAAAATGACCAGACTAATTCAACTTGACACTGTCACTTTAGATATATTAACAGGTATCTAGGCAAATTAATGTTTGGTGTATTTGGATCTGGCAGTTTGTCCTCCAAAATCCAGTTTCGCTGGCCTATTACGTCATAGCGGGGCGCCATTGCCTGTTCATACTGTATTGGAAGACTCCTTTTTAAGTGGCTGACAAATGCAGCCTTTCTATATCCTATGTAGCCTTGGGTTTCCATGATTCATTGTAAGTTCAAGCAATTCGGCTGTTCTGTGCTCAGAGGAAAAACATAAACGCAGCATAAGTGCAGAAAAGTGGTGAATATTGGAAGTGCAGTTTAATATAACACCAATACAGTATGTGAGTAGTTCCGTGTGAAGTTAATTTAAATAGCCTTTTTAATGGTTATTGAGTCAGATATGTGAAGGAAATATTTAGTTTATTGAAAGGTTTTATCTGTGTATCTGTCTCTGTGCAAATGGATTTGGCTGAAATTCAAGCCCAAATTCCCATATATCTGCAGTGTGGGACTATAAATTTGACATTCATGACTACGGTACTACTGCTGAAGCTCCTCAAATATTAATGTCACCTACAAGAGCATTGAGAAGTTCAGCATCCATTCTTTTTCTGCTTTGTTTGTCGACTGTAAATGTTGCTAGGTGACAGAGTGTATGGGCGGTGGAAGCCTGAGAAGGCTGGACCTGTTTGAATCCATACCAAAGCTCTTCCTGTCTCATTATTTTCACAGACCTCGAAGGACCCAGTCCAGGTAGACCAGGTCCTTGGAGGATGCAGCCGCTGAAATTAAATGCACCCATTGTCTGCAATAAAGAAATAGACATCTTGTCATTTCCCAGAATCCTTTTGTATCCTCAATGGCACCATGAGTGAGATGGAAATGGGTTAAATGTACTTGCCCTTTGAGCTTTTATGAAATAAAGCACTGTTAATATAAATTATTAGAGATCATATCTCACAGCAATGTTGTATAGATGACTTTATAGTAAAGTTAAGTTGTTTAAATAAGTCAATAAACTTAGTGAGACAAAATAAAAACACACCAAATGTTAATGTTTCAGTTACGCTGATTTCTCTAAACCAGGTTGTCTAGATGCACAATATGTTACATTTTGTAAGTGAAATCCACTAACGTTAATCAAACTCAATACTATTAATGAGCTTAACCTAAATGGTGTAAATAAACATTATTAACATCTGTTAAGTTTAACTAAGCAGCATTAAAGGTCCCATATTATGCAAAATTCACATTTAAATATTTTATAACAGTCATGTGTCCTAAAACCTAAGGAAAAAAAAGCTTTTACCTCTATCACTGCCTTTCTCCACCAGCTAAGGTGTGCTCAAGATGCTCTGTTTGAAAAACATTCTCTTATGAATTCATAGCAGCCCATCAATAGAGCTACGGCCTTCATCTTAGGTAATTTTCCACATTCCTAGGCTATCTTTATGAAATCTGACTGGTTGTCATGGTTGCGGGTTAGTGGGGTTTGGCCTTCGGGAGGACAAGGGCATGAAAAGCCAAAACAGCTCGTTTAGAAGAGGGATAAGTAAGATTTTTGGTTAAGGCCATCTGCCTAATCTAACAGGAATTTTCCTGCACAAACTGCAAAAACATGCTCTTAGAGCCTCTTGTTAATATTTTTTATCAGCAGCCCAGGATTCTTTAGGCTATACTCAAGTCTACAATGCTGGATTTAGGGATCTTAATTTTGTTTTCCTTCACTTTAATTAATTTTTTAAAAGTAAGAATATAAAACACTTTGCGTTTAATCAACAAAGTTTATTGAATCCAGTTGACAAAAATTGGTTAAGAAAATTCAACAGATTTTTGATCAGATGAAAGTATTAAAAGCTGTTCAAAATTTCTCAAAATTCTTAATAAAAAATCAATATCAATAAATGATCACTATGGGTCAAAATACGAATTTGATAAAAAGATATTTTATCCCAGGCTCGTGTTGTTAAAAAAGCTGTTAATATTCTATTGCATGAAAAATAAAAACCTTAAAACACATTTAGATTTTATTTCTCCCCCCAAAAAAAAAATACAGACCAATTTTAAAATAAAACTTTTAATAGCATATTGGAGAAAAACATGCTTCTGGATATTCATCAATAAGATTTTTTTTGCAAATTGCATTCCACAAAATTGTAATACAACATTTCCAATGATGATAGCTGCTGATTCCAGGAAGTAAACTGTGTTTGTTTTATTATATTTCGCATTTGATTTTGACACCGTGGATCTCACTTGATGATAAACAGAATCAAATATTTTTTTGGTTTGTCACGTGGTTTTAAAATTGTCCCAGAGGCCTTTAACTTAAGACACTGTTGTTAGATATTATATGAAATTGTAGTGTACCCTGTTGTTCCACAGTCTGCTGAGAATTACGCTTAGGGATATCAATATTGTCCTTCATTTTTTGAAAACTTCTTCCTAGAAGTTCCTAGAACAGAGCTGATTTTCTTTATCAGCTTATTAAGCTTATTTGAGTAATTTTCTCTGAAGCTGCTACACCAGTAGATAATAGGAGAAGAATCTATATCCTCCACATCAGACTTCTGCAAATTATTCTGCATCTCGCTGCAAATGTTGAAGGATGTAACCTTCCACTAAAAATAGCTTGAATACCACTTTCTGCAATTAAATTCAAATAAAACAGAGATCCTCACTGTTGCTCATGAGAATAAAAATGATCTTTTTAGGCAGCACCTTTTTTTCAGGCAACACCAATAAAAAATCTTGGTATCATTTTTAACAGCTAATTATCCTTTCATCTTCTTTCCCAAAAAAAAAAAAAACTGAAATATGTTTGATCATGAGAAATAATATTTGAAGGGTGAGATTATTGATGTCAAAAATTAAGTAGAAATTGTAGATGATTCTTGTTTGGAGTGTTATAATATGCCTCTTACTTTCAGCAAATCAGCTTTAAAGTTTCATAATGAGGCATAGAGGCTCCTAAGGAGGTCAAACAGCATCCCTGTTCTGTCCTCCTCCCTGTACTCTATATGATAGATAAATAAATAAATAAATAAATAAATAAATAAATAAATAAAACATTTCAGGGCATTTACTGGTCAAATATATTGATGCCTAACTGTTTTCTTGTTCTCTTTTCTGGTGATACCACAGACTCATCTTAAAACTCATGAATATCTTGCTTTTTGGGCCCTAAGGCTCTTGTGCTCTCTTCAGCTGTCCCCGCGCTACATGATTTCCATTTTTAAGAAGTTAAGTAAGTTATTTTTCAACAATCTGACTTTGAACTAGACTGATACATTTATTTCTATATCTAGAATATTGTTGTGTATTGTTGTAGTTTAGGTTTTTATTAATGTGAAACCCTTTCCGTTTCTATGAAAGGGGATGTGCAAATACAACTACTTAAAGAAACTGAACACCAGCTAAAACATAAATATATTGTAAGGATGTTGTAGGTGTTTTTGGGTTACCTCCTGTGGTTTGCAGTGGCAGGGCAGCTCCACAGTCACTCCAGCAATGTAGGCAGCATTTGTGAAGGTCAGGAAGGCAGGGCAGGCTCTTGTGGCAAATACATCCTGTTTATCTTCAGGAGCCTCATAGCTCCACACCTCAGAGTATAAGAGAAGAGCAAAACCCCACTTAAAAAACATTGACACTACAATGATAAGGACTTAAAAATCTTAACGATATAGCCCTGCTGACTCTACTTTTAAATTATAGAACCGGTTGAGATAAAGTATTCAAATCTGAGCTGTGAACAAAAACAAATTTAAATCAAAACAGTTTCAGTTATGACATAAGGGAGCTTAGAAAAAAATCACCTCCCTTTAAAAAGTTCAACATTTTCTCTTTCTGACTAATGTCAGACAAAAAAACTGTTATATTAGGCTTGCTCAGTTTAAACCTTTTTTTTTTTTTTTTTATCTAAACAAAGCTTGAGGGAGATTCAATAGGTTTTCCTATGTCCTGGACCAACCTTTGCAGCTCTATTAGCTTCATTTATTTTGCAAGGGCCTTTCAGAACCTTTAGGAGTGGGATTACGTGTCTATCAAACCAGAAGCACAATTGTAAGATCAGATATTAATGCTGGATGTTAAGCTTTGGCTTGCAGTCTCTGCTCTAATGCATCCCAAATATCTTCAGTCTAATTTAGGTTAGAAGTCATTGTAGACAATTCAAGTTGTTCCTTACTAAATGGACGCAAACATGTCTTAATATAGGTAACTTTACACTTTGGTGCGGTGTCATGTCCATAAGGGATGTGTCCCTCCAAACTATTTCCACTAAGTTGGGAGCTAGAAATTGTCTAAAAATTATTGGTATTCAGGAGCATAAAGCCTATGTCAATGGGACTAAGGGGTTGTGTACCTCCTTCATGAGAACGGTCCCACATTATAATCCCATTAACTGTTGACCCAGTAGAGTCAGGCAGGTACTTTTCTCCTCACAACTGCCAAACTTAGGCTTTGTTCACACAGCAGCCTAAAGTAATTAAAATTTAAAAAAATGTGCCCATATGTAACCTGTATCTAATCTTTTCATAATAGTCTGAGCCCAGACTGCAAACCCAGGCAACTTGGCTATGCTGTCCTGAATCCAATACGTATCTGGTCTTTTTAAATGCTACCTGTGTCTGAATGGTCAGGTCACATTCATCTAAACTGTGTGGCATTATTACTCAACAAAGGTCCCTATTCTGCTTCTTGCTACGCAGAAGTGGGAAGAAAAACAACAACCATTGCAGATGATAATATGGAGAGCCTTCCTTATTTTCAACCTTCTTGAAAAGATTGTGTAGTTAATGCACTGGCTGAGGTTGGGAAAGAAATGAAAGAATGCAAGATGCGCTCTAGCACCACCATCCATCTTTACACAGAGCACGCTCAATTGTGACATCATTGCGGGACACATCACATACAAGTTGCACATATTTGCAAATTTTGTAAACAACCACGCAAACCAATCGGATTTGGAAATGAGCATCAATGCCTGCAGTGTAAACCTAACTTTAGGTTGCTCCATTTGAATGTCATAAGAAGAGACATTTTCATCCCACCAAAGAACATCTCTTTGCTGTTCAGGAGCTACATGCTTCACACCACTTTATTCATGGTATTGAAATACACTTAATACTCTTGAGGAATATGATCTGGATACGGCTGCTCAGCCTTGTAGGTTTGTAGCCGTTTACTATGAAAACTGTTTCCAAGCTCAGTGCACTATGTGCCTCAGTATTTGTTGAGACATAAAGTCAAACATTTAATGAATCTGTTTACTTTATTGCATTACCACACTGGCATTTGCTGAGCTCCTGATAGTGACCCAACCTTCACAAAGTTTTGTACAACCAGTCCGCATGACAAGGTCTTGGAGATTTTTAAATTTGTAACCATGGAGGTAAATGGAATTTTGAAAAAAAATGTTTCCATACACAATGCATTCCATGTACTTTAAAAGTTTAACATCAAAAAGCAATTATTGGCAGCAAATCAATATCCACACAAAGACTCATATGCTTCCTCAAGGTGACAGATAACATTTAAGACTTTATCCTCTGAACAAACTATTACTGTGGAAGTTTTAAAAGCAGCTAAGAAGAGGTACAGGTAAAACTTATGTAAGCTTATACATAAAAAAATATGAATATGTCAAGGTAAAGGAGTTTTTTCCTTTTGAAGCGATCACTTAAGTGAAAAAATAAAATAGAGGGTAATACAGTATATGCAGCTCTAAATCAGCACATTGAAGCAGTTGGCAGGTTACAGCAAGCTTTGAAAAGACAGCACAATCACAACCATCTAAGTAATCGTCCTTAAAGGCCAGATTTGTAAACTGTACAACTAATAGTCAGAACATTCAACCCTGAGTAGGATCTCTGCAGCTATGGTAACGTTACCTCAGGTCTGTTGACTGCTGGTTGATTCATACTTTTCTTTTCAGACGTGTCAGTTTTAGGTTAAAATCCATAGATTATTTCAACATTGTGATTGTGCAACCCTTTTTTTTATTTTCTCTTGATAGAACAAATATCTAACCATTCATCCACTATTTACATCCACTTTAAGGATAGAGGGTGGTGGTGCCTATGTTGAGCTGCCACTGAGCAAAGGACATTGCATACCCCTAGCAGGTCACTAGTTTGCATTGAACAGCGACTTATTGAATGTTCAAAGCTTTAAATGATTATGTGATACTTTCTGTCTGGCCGGCCTATAACATCCAAATAGCTATCCCTGATGTTTGAGGCTGTCAGGTCAGAAAATATATACACGTTCAAAAAGTAATTTGAGGTTACTTCAGAAAAAGGAACAGCTTTAAGTTTTGTTATAACTTTAAATTTGCTTCGAAAATTTCCTTGTAAAACCTTTAGGACAATTAGGCTGTGGAAAATGTGATCATCATTGCAGCTCAAATGTAAGAACCCTATTTTTTTTTTTTTTTTGGCATAAAGAAGAAAGTTTGTTACCTAAACATGGTTTACGATGTTAACGGATTTCAAGATGTTAACTGCAAAGGTTGCAAAGTGACAGAGCGTACAAGCGGTGAAAGCTGGACAAGGCTGAACCTCTTCTTCCAAGCTCTTCTGTCCTCCTTACTGTATTGTCTTTACTTAAATCTTTATATAATTTATCACATTTCCCTTCATTTAACAATTAAAAAAAGAAATAAACAGAGGTACTTAGAGAAAAAATGGAGTCAATTAACTGGCTTGATCCCTGCAAAAACAGAGAGTGGACCTATAGGACTATGGAACTTAAACTTCTGGAGGTAAAATTACCAGACACACTCATGTGTTCAATAGATATAACATCAAATAAAGTGCTACCTAGCAGGATAATTATTTGCATAAACCCACTGCAGTTAGTTTAGAATCACAGGGGTCACCAATGCGGTGCATGCGGACACCAAGGGGTCTTCTGTCAGGTTGTGTGGAAATTATTTGATGACCAAATGCAGAGACTGAAGCAGAAGTGGTTTCTTGCAGGTTTAATAATCCAAAGGGGAAACAGAAGCAAAAGTCCATAAACAAAA